GGGGGATACAACAATTTAAAGCAGTATTACACTTATTGTTTTTATGCTTAAACCCTTTTTCATCTTTGACCCATATTCATCCTGTCTATGAAAATATTTTTTTTGTTACTCCACCTTTGCAAATTAAAATAAAAAAAATAATTTACAAAGAAAATAAAGCTTAGTTTATAACCATTATGCTTATTTATTTAAGCATGTTTACCCTTCTATTTTCATGACTTAATGAAAATCATCCTGTGAGGAGGACGCAATGCTGTTTTGTTACACTGTTACACTACAATACATTTTTATTATGTATTATGTCATTTTATTTATTTACTTGCATTGCGTTGCAGTAGAGTAGCCCTTTAAAAGGGCTCATTTTAATTTTAAAATATATTTAACATTTTTAAAACTGTTTTTCGATACTAAGGTGAAATATTTCTGACATTTCTTGACAGTTGTTGTAAGATTCACCTGAACGTAAGAGAAGTTCACATACTGTGGTGTCTATTGTAACTGAAAACCGTAGAGGTCAGCATTTGTGATGAGTCCATTCAGAGAGAAAAAGACTCAGCGGTTGAATGGTTTAGGGTAGAAATATGACCAACATGATATGGACTGCATCAGACATGCACACACACACACACACACACACACACAATCAGGGTGCTGAAGGTTCTTCTAGCAAGACAATAAATAAAGTCCAAATCATTTGAACTGGAAAAAGGAGTGGACAAACTCAGAAGCTTCCAAAACCAACTCAAACTCTCCACAGCATGCTGATACGGACAAACCATCTATTACTGTGCAAGCTCATTATGCACGTTATACAGCACTGCACGTGTCAAGCTTTGTGTGGGTTTCCACAGAAGCAATGTAAATAACAAGAAACCACTAAAATGCACTCTACACTTGAATAATGTTTGGAAACAGAATAAGATGCATGGCATGTACGGATGAGATGAGCAGATGTACATAATGACTAGAGAGCACAGAAAGTTACAAATATGTTCAAGTGCTGCAGCGGGGGGGAAAAAACAATTCAGGAGGGCTCAGTTACAGTACATCGATCGATTAAGAGGCAGTTTGTTTCCAGTGAAACAAACACAAATGAAAGGTTTGAGTCATAAATAGAGCTTTTTGCTGTGTTGCACTTGACAAAAGCAATTAGCCTGAGTACATCTGCTTTGATTTGTGACCAGATCGACGACTCCTAAAGAGTCAGACAGGAGAGAAAGAGAAAAGATGAAACGTTGTGATGGAGAGAGAAGCTAGAATTAGTCCTTTTTTTCCACACCTGCTCTAATAGAGTCTGCACTCATGTATTAAACAACGTTCAGTGTGTTATGTGCACACAGGTGTAACCATGAAGCTTAATAAATGAATATGGATTGAGAGAACATATATAGAGCTTGAATAGGATTTAAAACTGGAAGCAAGTGGAAAAGGCCAACACAAACATCATACCCACTTCTCATAGCTCACTAACGTCGCATACTTTCTGGAAGTTATGAGCTGCTTTCTACAGAGATATCATGAGATATCAATCACCAAGGAAACAGGAAGGATCCATCACATCCGAGCAAGAAAGCAAATATCGAGATTCAAACGCATTAGGTACAAGCATGCTCAGACTCAAAGGAACCTCTCAGGAAGCGTTCAAAACATTTGCTAGACAACTTAGTGAAATGGCATCAAATAAGGTTTAAGGTTCCTTGTTTGGAAAGTGCAGATGTAAAAACCGCCAAACCCCAAAAGAAAGCAGCATCTCAGCAGAAACTGGTTATTTGGCTAGCAGTGCTTCTAAATTAATTTACCTGTGAATAGCGAAATAAAACGTAGGTAATATAGCTACTATGCTGCCGGCCTTTGTATTCCAGTAAACATCAACAGGCCTCTTTGATAGTTTGAGGAGCAGCTGAAGACAGAAGGTGCACAAACACAGTCAAGCCGAGCAGCAGCGTTGCATTGAACAGCTGTTCAGTGTTGTGCAGCTCCAGCGCTTCAGTGCCGCATTTGAATGCGTGACAGAACGCAAGAGAAGCGTTTCGTTTCCACGGACTATGCGTTCCGTTCGGACAGAGAGGGACACCGTAAACACGCGCCTCCAGCCTGCAGCGTCTTACCTTTGGAATTGCTGAATGCGGTGTACCAGGACAACGATATAAGCCCACATAACCCGAATAGTGAGACTGTTAGGAAGGTGCCATTTCTGAGCCTCATCTCCGGGTCCGCGCCGGTATCATGTCCGAACCGAACCGAACCGAACCGTGTGCTCGAGCGCGTCTGACGTGCGCTGCCGCGGTGCGTGTGTGCGTTAATGACAGCGCGCACACATGAGAGATGAGAAGGCGAGAGACTGTGTTCAGGCAGATGCCGTTTATACAGGAGGGTGTGTGTGTGTGTGTGTGCGTGTGCGTGTGTTCGGTGCACGGTGTTTTGTTGGACGGGCTCGTGCAGGCGGTGCAGCTGCTCCTCCGTGCGGACAAAAAGAAACACATCGTCTCGTTTTGAAACAGCAGTTAATGTTGCACGCTGTAGACTTTGAATAAGATCCCAGGAAGCATACAGTCCTAGTGTAGGTTCAGAATTTTTTCACACTAAAAATGTACATGGAATTAGTGTGAAAAAAAATCATTAACCTCTTATTATTAATATTATTTACATTTTCTGTGTAAAGTTATATGCTTTACCCTAAAACAGCAGTAATATATAAAATATCTAAAGCTTAAATAATGCACAGTTTTTAACAGAAGTAAATAAATAAGTGGAATTTTTGTTGTAATCAACACTGTGCCACAGATGCTTTTATTGAACCCAGAATATTTATTTTTATATATAAATGGGCAAAAATATATTAGGCTACTTTGATAACTTGACTCACTTATATTTCCTCATTGCCATTTTTTAATATATTTTCAATGTAAATAAATAATAAATAATTGCATTATCCTGAATACATTTTACAAAATAAAATACATACCAGCACTTTCCCCCACTTCATTCACTGCACAAACGCAAATAAATAAGTAAATATGTCAAGAATTATTTTTTATAGTAAATATACAGAGAAATAATCATTCTGTTTAAGATACATTAGATGGATGGATGGACAAATGCTTTGACAAATGGACAAATGCTATATAAATCTAAAAAATGTATATAGCGCTCTTGACTTCTGTTCTTTAGTAGATTAGTGCACATATTATCTACATAAATAAAAGGGAGTGATGGAGAAATGTGAATATATTTAAACAGCCAATATGACTGATAATATAAATATTATACTTACTTAAGTATTGAAAGTAAAAGTACAAGTGAGTTCAAAATAGAAAAGGAGCAAATAAATATTAAAAGTAGCTCTATGCACATTTTGAGCAGCAAGAATGTGCTCAGTTTTTACTCTTTCTTCTATTTTGTATCTTTGGGTTAGCATAAGAGTCACTTCATCTGGTATGAAGACTCTTTTATTCCAACATGAGAAAACATTTCTGGAATCTGCATCTGAAGTGGCATTTAGATTCATTTACACGGTTTAATGCAGCTCAGAGAGGGGACATGGATGCATTTTACCAGCAGTTACAAATGCATAAATAATGTTTTGTGTTAAACATAAAACGTTGAATGTTGAAATTTCTGAAAAGATTTAAAACATGAAAAGATACTTGAAATGTGAAATTAAAGCCGCCAGTAGGTGGCAGCAAGTCACTGTTAATGAGCGAATCATTGAGATTAAATCGATTCATTCAAAAGGTTGATTCATTCAGGAATTAAACATTTGACTGTTATTATGAGTGAGTCACTGAATCATTCGTTCAAAAAACTGATTCATTCAATAAGGAAACACTGTCCTGTGTGCGCTCTGCGGCACAAACGTGGCGAAATACAGCTAAAACACAACAATTTTGTTGTTAAAGCTAAGGCAAAATGGTCAGCACTTAACCCAAGCATTACTTTTTTATTCAAGTGACTCTAGCAAAAATGAGGTTAAAGGGAAAATGAAAGAATCCATAAACAACAAATGGCAAGAAGTATGGAACTATAGCAAGGGCAGACATGTGTAATATTCAGCAGCAAGCAGGAAATGGAAGAAGTGTTTTTAGGAATAGGAATGAAGATACAATTATTTCTCGCATCTGAATAGGACATAGGTACTAGTTTAAATCAATCTCTGTTTAATATAGGAAAACATGAAACAGGTCAATGTATTTATTGTAATCAGGCAAAAACAATAGAGCATGTTTTAATAAAATTAAAAAAAAATATGCAAAAGAAAGGTTAAAACTCATTAAGGAAGTAAGAAACATGGGTGTTGAATCATTTAATTTGACAAGCCTTTTGAAAGAGCATACAGAGCAAGGTAAAATATATGGTGCTATTATAAAATATATTAAAGAAATAGGATTAATCAGGAGAATTTAGTTTTTTTGTTTGTTTGTTTGTTTTTATTATTATTAGTTGCTTATTAGTGCTTCACACTCCAGTCCAGTTTGTGGCGGTAAATGCACCAGAAGTTGGTTTGCCATCTGCCATAAAAAGAAGAAGAAGAAGAAGAAGAAGAAGAACTGATTCTGCTTTCTCAAGTGCTTGCAGTCTGTCTGAGTCCCGTCTTTATTTTTTAGTAAGTAACGAATATTGCTTCTGGGAAATGTATCGGAGTAAACGTATACATTTTCATTAGGAAATGTAGTGGAGTAAGTTAAACAGAAATATTCAAACTCAAGTAAAGTACAGATTCTCCCACAAAATATTACTTCGTTACATTACCGATATAAAGTTGTTTCGATGTTTGACATTTGTCAGAGATTCAGCCTCGGAAATGTTCAATAGTTCTTTAACGATTTAGCACAAGGACAAGAAACATAATGTGTTATAATTGTTTTCAAATGTAGAAGAGAACACACAATGTGTTTTATTTGTTTTAATCTGCCTTAAGGTATTGTAACCAATAGACCTTATAATGTAAAAGTGCAGGATAGGGACCGTCTGCAAAGTGCAAAACGAAGAGCAAAAAGCACAATTATTCCATCTAAATGCTTCACTTGTGAAATGTATAAAAAATGTATCTCAAATATAAGTGGTGTGTCTTATTACTGGTTCATACAAAAACATTTAGATGGTTTTATTCACAGAACTATAGCACAACAAAAGTTATTGAAATGGAACAATTGAGAAAAAGCTTGCAAAGCATGTCAATGAATACATCAATCAATGTAAAGTAAATTAATTTTGTCTTCTGGGAAACATCTGGGTTTCTTCTGAAGCTTCTGACATAATTTAGCTATTATTTTGTCTTGTGCACTATATGTAAACATATTTGATGCAAAATATCTTACTCCGGACAGTACTAAAAAAATAACATGCATTTTGTGTGATCCCTCTTACAAACAAAATGGACCCTTTAAAAAATGAGCTCGAAAATTGAATTTTTAACTAATTGATGTATTGGTTACTCAGCTTAATAAACAGTTTAATTGGCTATTCAGTTTCAATTGAATGTTTTCTCTCATATTTCTGTGACTAAAACCAACATTAAAATATTCTTCTAGAGACCAGTAACAAGACACAGCTTTCGAAGTTGTGATGGAAAACTGCATACCTTTAAATGAATTTATTAACAGATTTGAATTCAATTCAATTGTATGTATCCTGATTTACAAATGAGAGTAAAACCTGCATAGAAATGCTCTTTTAGGCCCAATTAACAAGACACAACTTTTGAAGTTGAGATGGAAAACTGTATGCATTTTAAATACATTTATTAAAGGTTTGAATGTCAAACTCAGCCAAAACAACTGCAGTATCTTCCTCTAGGGGGCAGTAACACTGGAGACTCTTTGGAAGGTTTCGCAAGCGATTTTTGAACGTCAATAGCGTGACTTCTGCATCTCTTTTGACAATGAAAACCACTGCAAAATGTTCTTTAAGAAGTTTGTAACAAGACAAACTTTGAAGCGGAGGTAGAAGATTGTATTTATTTTAAACTAAATTATGTATTGGGTTTAATTTTCTATAGTATGTGTTCTATTATAGTTCTGTGGCGTAAACCACCATCAAAATGTTTGTCTAATCTGCAACAAGACACACCCATTGAAGTTGTGTAATAAAACTGTGTTATAAATTAATTAATTAAAAATTTGATTTTCAAAATTGTTTTCTATTACAGTTCTGTGACTAAAACAAATATAAAAATGTTCTTATAAAAACAAAAACAAAGACATGAGGTTAATGCAGAAGAGTGTATTATATTTTAAATTAATTTATTTTTTGGTTTAAATTTCAATAGCGTGTACTTTTTTGGTGTCAAACCTCTGTGAAAACAACAAGCATTAAAATGTTCTCACAAGGACCTGGAATCAGCCCACTGCATAACCACTGAATTATTGAATCATAATGATTTTTAATAGTTTTTCTTTTATTAATATATTTATTAATAGTAATAATATAATAATAACCACTATCACATGTCTTGTTTACAATATTTCTAAAGTGAGCGCTATAAGTGTTTGTCTTTATATCTTTCAAAGAGCTTGGTGCACAAATTGCTCTTGTTTGGTTAATTGTAAAAAACATTCCGGCGGGAAAACATTCATCGTTTTATCCTGTACATGTACTTTGTAGACGGTCCCTAGCTGGCCTAAGCGCTAGCTCGCCGCTGCTAGAGACTTTATGCGTTTCAACATATAGACGACGATTAAAACAAATAAACTGCGATGTGTGTTCAGTTCTACGTTCTAATGCTTTTCAGTTAAGCCATTTTGTATACAATTATACTCATCCACTAAGAATTTATTGAAGTTTTTCGCGGCTGAATATCTGTCTAATATCCAACGGTTATATCGGTCGTTACATTACACTGTATTATGTACTAAATAAACTAACTTCAAAACTTTTACTTGCACTTATATGGCAAGATGTTTTCTTTAATTTGTCCTTGTTCATAAATAGATCGTTTCATCATCTTGCTGTGTAAATGTGCTTAAATCTTCATGTTTCTCAACGATGCTCAGTGGTACCAACAAAGCCGGATTGGACTGGTTTGGTTTTGTCAACTCAGACCTAATCCTGTAACCTTTTAAGCTTTTAATTTAAAGTTATAAAAGAAGAGTCTCTGAATGATAGGGTCTGGATATTTATGGCACTGTTAAAAGTCAATGTTATTCGCTTGTAAACAAAGGAAATCATATGAGGCGCGTGAGTCAGAGTCACGTGACAGAGCCACGCCCCCCGCCTCCAGATGACCTCAGACGCTTCAGGAGGCTTCCAGAATAAATTGACGCCGCGCGGAACATGTAGCTAAATGTAGCTGACATCATGCTGAAATTAAGTTGCTTATAAGGATTGATATTAATATCAAAGAAAAAGTCCAAAGATAAATATGTTTATATAGAAGTAAATTTATATTTAAA